AATTATAAGCTTAACTTCTCGGACGATACTATAAGAATCTCGATTGCATGCTTGAGAATTCATCAACGCGCTTTGAGTATCACAAGCGAAGCATTATTACAAGGTAGAGATGATGGTCGATGAAACAGTCACGCTAGGCACGATAAATCCATGGCAAGTTTATGCAGCACGAGTTCTTGGATATGTGATCCAATACACAGGTGATGGAGCGAAATATTTTTGTCCAATATATATGTTCAGTCCTATTATATCAATGTCCAATCGATGTTCAATCACTGGGGGGATCGTTTATTCACCTCTTCCTCCGTTGGTGAATTAATGTTATTGAGGGGTCCAGGGTTCGAATTTATTGTCAGAATAATTTATTAGACAGGTGGAAATAACGAGAAGTGTACTTTAAAGGATTAAATATTAAACACTAGATAGGAGTACAGGATCAGGTTGACAGGTGGAAATAACGTTAAGTGTACATACGTTATAGCATTAATTATTAAACACTAGATAGAAGTGCAGGATCAGGATTGATGGTATGATATACAGGGTAGTTGAGGTTGGGGTTTACGACATTCAATCCTATTATATAAATACCGGAATCTATAGGGTGACGTCCAAGTGGCGCGTCTAAGAGTAACAGGACTGGCTGATGGCTATGTCTGCCTATGACTGACTGATGGTCAGCTGTATAGGAGCTTATACAGGCGTACAATAGTGACGTCACAGAAGGTGACCCAGTAACCGCTAACGCAATTATGAGGTGACGGTAGACAATGTGACCAATTTCTTGAAGTAATAATCGGATATCATTATTCTTCCGCAACAATTATTGAACAAAAATCCAGAACATATCCTATTTTACTCATTTAAATTAGATCAGGTGGATAATTGTCACCGAATTGCCATTGAAATCTGCATTAATTATTTAATGAGCCTTGTGCATTACTTCATAGGTGGCGTCCAACTGAAGTTTTTATATTAGATTTTTTTTATATTATTATTGTCAGTTTATTCTCAAAGAGAAAAGTGGTGGCCACTAACCCTCATTACTGTTTGTTGGCATTCATCACCTCCACACACAAAAAAAAATAAAAACACATCAACCAGTTTCCTCGCATTGCATTCATGAACGTGTCACTAGAATGTCGCCTACAAAAAGAATATTTATTGTGATTTCGAACCTGCTGAAGCGAATTAAACTAGACTCCGAATGTTTGAAATTTGGTTAGAGCACAAAAGTAAAAAATCTAATTTATTTGATTGCATTAATTTTCTTTCAAGGAATTACAAGTTATTCTTGTACTAGAAAATTCATGTAAGTTTGTGTCATTACATATCGGTAATACAGTGGACAAGTTTGCACTTAAATCCATTCCCTTAACTTCAAACGAAAGCCACGGAGCCACAATTTGAGATTCATTATACCAAAGAAGTATTTTATGCGGACAATTATCTCATGCAGATTATATGTAATTACATTGTTCAAATCCTATATAATTGAAATTCGGCAAAATTTTGCTCATAGCCATTCAATGAGCCTCCAGTTGATGAAATTGAAGTTTTTCTGTTTCATTGATTGAAAAATCCCTAATGAAATTACGTCGATCGTCCGATAGTAAATCTGGGCCAAAATGAAGGCCATTTCATGCGTGGGGACCTCCTTTCTTTTGTCCTCTTTATGTCTTTGTGTTCATTCTTGCGAGAGGTTATACTCGTTAACCGCGGCCGTTACGAACTGTTTATGACGCCGTTCTTGAAGTGAAAGAGATTTTGTCACGCCACTTCACAAAGAGAAGAGAACTGATGGAGATATCAGTACAAACTATACTCTTTTTCTTCCTTTAATTTTAGATATAAGTAGAAATTTTTCATTTTTCATGCAAAAAGCGAAGGTTATGGTAGAAATGATGAATTTATTTTTACTTGGAATTTAAGAGTTGATTTGATAGAAGGTCTACATTTCACAGAAAGTTTTAATGAAAATATTCTGGATTATTTATGGAATTTTCTTTGTTATTCAAGGTTTCGGTAACCTGCAGTTTATTATAATAATTTCGAGTTTTTAGTCCAAGCACGGTCATTTGAATTTAATTAAATGCTATTGTTAGCGATATTTAATAATTTTATTTTTTCTTTTAATCGAGATGTCTTTAATATATTTCAGATTCTATTTATATAGATTGAGGATATTTTATAGTTGTCTAGTTTAAAATAACGTATTTTTAATAATCAATCAATTGTTTTCTGTTTGAAAGCAAATGTTATTTAACATTAGCTACCGAGCTCGTATCTCGTCAGTAAAACTTCTAATTTCCTCCTAGTTTACTACAAAGTGCAAATAAATACATTACCTTTTTGGTTTCATATATATGTGTTAAGAAAACATTTATTTATGTTCATTGTAGTTTTTTTACAAAAATATTAGCTAAAACTAGATTTGCATTCATGTCACTTTTTTCTGGATTTTCATGTCATCTTTCACATGAATAAATTCCAGAGACTTTCAATCATTCCGTAAGATTTCAGATGCACATAGTCCTGGTCTGGTGCATGACATTCCGTGCACGAGTACCGTAATAAAAAATAAAAATAGCTTCAATAACGTCAATGTACCATCACTCGTAATTGATATAGTTTCTCATTATTGAAAAATTATGTATAAACCTCACTTTTCTAGTTATTCTATTTCGGGGATAAGTTACTCGTGACTATTCAACGTCCCAGAAGCACCGGTGGTTTGCGGAGGCCAATTCGACAGCAGAGAATCGAATCTCCTTTCCTATTTTCTGGGATAAAATAACTCTTATCCTGGGCTTGCCGAGGACATTTGTCGTGGGCGGGAAATAAATTTCAAGGCTCGGTTAGGCCTGTGTGCGTCTGAGGTGTCGCAAGGAAGCACGAACGACAATTAGAGTTCAGGGAAGAAGAAAAATGAGATACCCTTTGAAAAGGACAAAGTTTTTGAAACGAAAAGAATGTTTGTTAAAGACGAGAAGTTAAGAAGTGAAAATTTAACATTTGAAAAGTGAAGACGCAAACAGTAAAAAAAGTTTAAATCTTATTTTCACGTATCTATCAACTGTGGTCCTGAAAATTAAAGTGGAAAAGATCATTTGAAGCATAACAGAAGACAGGATTAAATTTGATAAAAAAATATTGACAGTATAAAATAATTGGTGAAAGCTGAACCAAAAGCTTTCATGCTGAACAAAAATGGCCTGAATGATTCATTCGAGCTGAATGCGAACGAGCGGCTCAAATTTCTATTAATCAAGAAAACTGGAAATGGAAGTACCAACAATATTCTTATAAATAAGTGAATTTTTTGGTAATTATTTATCAGTGACGATGCCTAACTGTAATTCCTCATTAATTTATGCAATGTAATTAATAACGTGTTCATGTTGGAAAAATATCAATAAATAATGGCTCGATGATGTTGATGAATCTAATTAATGAAATCATTATTATTCTGAATTGGTCGCGAACCAACCAATCTACAAGAATTTAAATTTAAAAAAATTATACCAAAATAAAATTTAAGAAAACTGATACTAAAATTATTTCTTTATTTCAATGATAAAATTTTGCCCCTAATTTTTATGGTAATAATTTACTCTTTTTTCAATATTATATCTTCTCTGTCTTATAATTTATCCACAAAATAAAATTTCTGTTTTCCCGGTTAATTCACAATATCCATGACTATGGACATTATAACGTTTCCACTAAAAGAAAAATCCGTTCTGTTGCTACTTAAAGCTATCGACAAATCCTTACCGTCACGTTATATATTCCTAATATCAATAATTATGAATCTTAATGATAACCTTCTCAATAAAAGCGACCTTCGTTTTGTTGCTGACGGGAAGCTATCATTAGATCGTCACGTCATGGTATCAATTCTCAGTAATAGTCATTATGGATTTCATTATAACCTTCAACAAGAAACGAGTTACGTTCTGTTGCTGACGGGAAGCTATCATTAGATCATCACGTCATGGTATCAATTCTCAGTAACAATCATCATGGACTTTCATTATAACCTTCAAATCATGGATTTCATTATAACCTTCAAACAAGAAACGAGTTTCGTTCTGTTGCTGACGGGAAGCTATCATTAGATCATCACGTCATGGTATCAATTCTTAGTAACAATCATCATGGACTTTCATTATAACCTTCAAACAAGAAACGAGTTTTGTTCTGTTGCTGACGGGAAGCTATCGTCAGATCTTCCCTGTCAAGTCAAGAGCAAAGAGCAAAGCTCTGCCTGTGAGCCCTTCTAAGATCCGATCGATGAGGCTACTTTAGCTTGCTAGGAGATACAAGAAAGGCCGAGTTATGCTCAGTAAAAAAATCGAAACTATGCCGAGACTGACTGAGAAAAAATAAGTAAAACCCGCATGGGTGCGCAACATGAAAAACCTCTGATGAAACATCAAGTATATTGCTCACAGAAGCTGAATCTTAATGAGGAAGACTTCAACAAATGTTGACCAAGGTTTTTTGTGATCAATAGCTTTCAATAAACTTTATAATTCAATTCAAACGCTGCAATGAAAGTTAGATAGAATGGACAACATAGCAGACGAATTTCAAGTGATTTAACTGAAAAACGCATTTAGGTGAATAACTTAAGTGCTCCATTAATCATTGTGGGTGGAAATACTCACTTTCATGTAACGAATTAGAGAAAAAGTTTTACATGTAAACTAATAGACAGCAAACATTCTTCTATTCCTTATGTGTTGACATGCAATTAACGAAATTTGACTAATTCTGGGGACACTGAAAGTGAGCAACACATTCTAATTTAATGTTCTCCTATAAAATATCTTACGTGTGTATTATAGCAAACAGTCGGCAAGCAGAGCTACGGAATTGATTGTCCTGTGGTTCATGAGCATTTTTTTTGTCTTAATTTTACATTTATCCGTGGAAAGTATCTCAAAATGAAGTCATGAGTTAGTGAAGACAAAAATTTCTGACAAAAATTCTTTGGCAGATTCATCGGAGAATTACCATTCCAGATGACACATTTTTCAAGAGCCATGTTCATGAAGTACAGACAATGTTATCAAATTACTTAAAATGTTTAATAAGACCAGAAAATCATAGTTCAGCCAAATAAAGTCGATTAAATTAAAATACACAGATTCGGTGATTAATTCTCAAACGTTTGTCATTATTTAACATTGTTTAGATGACATGAATTGTTTAAGAATGCAAGGGATTTTACCCGTCTTACTCCAGCTCTGCACCTTCACGCTGGGCAGCAGCGCAACGTCTACCGGTGAGTATTACCCAATTAATATAGAACAATATTATGTATGTTTCTCGTGTATTTCTTATATAATATTTATTGTCGTTATATGTAAACTATAATATATATCATTAGCACCCACGGGTTTCATTGGTAAACATCTTGTGATAAAAATCTTGACAAAATCACGAATCCTTGAAGGAAGATTATTTATTTATTGTACGTAGTTCCCACTCTAGTGCTGAAACAACTTTTCCATTAAATGTATTTCATTGCCTATTTAGTGGGGTAATTTCGATCGTCAACAGGTAGTTTTAAGTTAGTTTTGATGTCTGATAAATAAAGACTAAAATTAATTGCATTCCTCAGAAGTCTTAAAGCAATGATTGGTTTCAGTAACACCAAAGCTTTAAAGCGAGCAAACTTCATCCTGAGAACATAAGTACCTCAAAATATTTCCATATAACTACGAAACTGAGCTCAAGGAAAATAATAGACTTTGTAAAAATAGCGACTTTTTGGCCCTTATTTAGGTTGTCTTGCCCCGATTAAGCCGAGAAAAAAACCTATAAGTGCTACAACCAGCAAGTGTGTCACTATTTGTACAAGGTTACCCATTAATTTGTCTAAGTGTGAGCGCTAGACACGATCTATTCGTCCTCTTTGGCCAGTGAAGGCAAATGGTGCAGTCTTCAGTAATGCCTCAGTCCGCAGAGAGAACCCGTGTGTTTGGGAATGTCGTTTCAAGTTTCTTCACGGCATCCAAACCAATTTAGACTTCAAACATTCATATTGTGGCTGCACGAAAGAGCCGTGTTACGACAGTGGCCAGTAATTCTGTACACATGCGAAGCAGATGCTGTTTTGAATCATCACAACTTTTAGTTTTACTTTGAGTTTTACATTTTATTGATATAAGTTAGTTTTTTTTGTGTTTTGCATACGCTAATTTTCTCACTGAAGGAAAGATTAAAACTAAGTTTCCGTTTATCAACTTCTGAACATCGAGCAATAAAAATAACATATGAATAATGAATGCATGATCTTTTGACTTGTGTTCTGTGCAACACTTATTTGAACTTCACTGATGAGCTTGGTAAATTATTCTGTTGGTGCTCCTGCATCATCCTAAGTCAGACAATGCACAAAGTTTTGGATGGAACATTAGTTTAAGGCTTTCCTTGCTATGGCTTTATGCAATTTGTAAAAATAACCTCTTTTTCCTGTTAAACGAAGTGAAAAAAATGTTGAGGGAAGAGTTATTTATTTGAGGAATTGTGGTTTGTTTGAGTATTTTTAAGCTTGGCGTATTGTAAGGAGTTTTTTTTCAATTTTTTTAGACCGCAAGTTACAACCACAGGAAAAGAGGTACAATGGACTGTACTGGTAATATTTGTAATACTTAAATTTAAATTAAGCTTTAGAAAGACTAATTTTACTCGCTTGATATTTTGAGAAGCAAATTTTATTCAACGAGTAATTATTCATGTTGTCATTATTGATCGAACGACACCGTGTTCCAAACGAAGACGTCAGCCGTCGGATAAAATTAGAAATTAGACGAATAAATGATCAGTTAATGAGTCTACGAATTGCACAACGAATTCAAATTTGCAGGCTTAAGTCAATCACTGAAGTGCAGGTGAATAAGTCTTCTAGTATGACATTCATTAATCAATGAGTAGGCGGATTAGTGAATGAGTAGTACCAGAATTAGTCATTCAATGATTAATGAATGTATCATGCGTGAATGTGTTATTCAATGATTAATAAATGAGTCACGCCTGAATTAGTCATTCAATGATTAATGAATGAGTAGGCAGAACGCAGTGAAAAGTTGTATTGGGATATTATTATTTGCTCATTGACAAAGATATTTCGTTTAGTTGTAGATAACAGCTTACACTGCAATCTTTGTAGGAATCTTAACTTTTCCACTTCTGGTTGTAGCTCACACGAAGATCGGCGAAAAAATTAATTTTCAGCTATAAGTTTTATTGCTTAGATGATAGCTGAGAAAAATACCCCGTCGAAGGTTATATAGTGCAGGAAGAAAAATTTATTGCATGTTTGAACTGCGACGATGAAATTAGTGACTCCCATGGATCTTGGAAATTTCCCCATGTTATATATTATATTAGAATGTCAAATTTATATTTTAAAAATTCTAATTTTTTCGATTATCCCAAACTACTTCATAGACACAATCTCCTTCAAATGAAATTTTTTCTGAAAACAATTTCTGTTAATTTCAGACTCGTGATGTCTTCCATTCATGTGTTCATGTCCATTCATTCATGTGTTCATGTTCATTCATGTCCATTCATGTGTTCCATTCGTGTGCCTATATATAAAGATATATACTGCCTCCAACACCATATAAAGCACCAAGCAAGCATTGATGCAAGGAAATATTTTTTTCATCACGTGTTCCCTTTATAGGCGTTGGCATTTGCGTCTCATTTAGGCGACCTGCATTCAGGGCTCATCTTCGGATCGATGGTAGGGACATGCTAAGTCGCTTCCAAGATATGCCATCACATGACCTTCTCAAGCATCTACTTCCGAAAAGAATTCATGAGTATAAAGAATATGGCTCTTTGTTCGGGGGATTGTTCAGAATGAAAACGCGTTGTAGATTGTAACGGTTTCTGAAAACAAAGAATGAACAATTTGAACACAAATTGAGGTTATTCGAGATTATAAACGATATAGAGAAAATAACCAAGGTTAACAAGCAATAAAAGGATCATAACATAAGTAAATGATAACGTACAAATTGCTGAACAATCTCGGTCAAGTTTGGTTGAAAAATGAATTTTGTCTGAGCTCATTAACTCTGGTCCTACCTAACTGGTCCTACCTAAAAGGTCCCAACCTTATGTATACGAGAGAAGTTTGTTCAGTAAAATTCTTTACAATGAGACTTTATTATTTTTGTATATTACAACTTTGCAATTGACATTTTTTTGTGCAGCTAATGCTTAAGTATCTAATCTCTAATTTTTTGTACATCTAATCTGTCTATTCAACAGTATTCTTCATTCAGGACCAGTTTTTGAATAGTTTTTGCTAGCACTCTGTCGCAACCATAGAATTATAATATTTCTGTATTCTATTCTAGGTCGTACAATAATATATATTTTTTAATTATTTTCATGCACGAGGAGATGCATATTCATGAAACTTTTTTTTTCTTTTGGAAGGAAATAATTGTCATTTGTCAGTCAAAATGAGATAGTTTTCGTACTCTGAGAAGAATCTGTAAATTCCTGCCTTTTTTCGGTAATAATTAACATTTTCTGTTTTTTAAGTTCGTTTTCTTGTATGCAAAATAATTTTACTGGTAAATAATTTTTCCAGCAGTAAAAAATTGCCTTCTGGCTAAAAATTTTAACCACATATATAGAAAACCTGCAAGTAATTTCGATGAATGTAATTTCTTTTCTCTCGACCCCTTTGAAAAGTTTTGTTTACCATAAATATATTTGTCAAAATTTGTGTGCGTGGGTTTAATTTTATGTGTGAAGCCTGGCATTACCAATAGAGTGATGGGGCGCGTATCCATGATACTATAATTGTGTCGAGATATATATCAGGATCTGGAACTTCATTGATAAAGGAGGAAGGAGAATAGGAAAGGTTGAAGGAAACGGAGGGAAGTCTTGGAAAAAATTTGAAATTTTGTTTTGTAATTTGATATGAGATTTGAATTGGAGTCTTATCGTTTATGTAAAATGTGCGTTTGAAGTGATCGCGGAAGTGGAGACAGGGAAGTGAAGGCACCAGGCTCTCAAATGGTATCAGTTAATTATGTAGTAGTCAGCCTGTGGCACAAATGGTAATAATGACGGTAAACGGTAGTCATTATACCGGCGCTTCTCAGTCAGTCAGTAGTCGCAGTTCAGCAACTACTGCTGTTATATTCCCTTTACAACATTCCCTAATATGAGCTGGCGTAAATACTATTAAAATAATGGTAAACTGATATTATTATAATAAATAATGATAATAATTATAATAACATAAATACTTTTCCACGTTGACAACGAAATATATCTTAATTAAAAAATAAAACGACTATCCGGAATTATTCGCTGTTTTCTAGATCGTCGTCGTGAGTGGAGCATTTATTATACCAAACAAGAAATTCTGAATGATAATTGGAAGTGCATTGCGTGTCGATAATCGCAGTGACGCCTTGATTTAACCGCAGTGATGTCTTCTAAGTGAGTAAGGAAATTTATACATCGCATCTTGCTGAGATGGACCCTTCTTGCCGTGGGCTTCGAGAACACATCGAGTAATAAAATGCATCGCAGTTTTTTCACTGAAGGCTAACCTACACCTACCCTGACTTCGGAAATGTTCGTAGGAAAAGGGACAATGCGTTTCGAGTGAAAAAGTCATAGAAAACAGCATGTTATATGTTTCAAACGCGTTCTGCTGTCTACAGCTTTTGAGTTTCTAATGCGTTCTGCGCGTTCTGATTAATAACTATGCATGTCTGCGATGGATGGCGAAATCGCAGCATGGCACAATGCAGTGAGCGTTTCCGAAGTATCCCATCAGTACTCTGGATTTAATTCTTATTATTCAACAGTGTGGGAGAGAAGTACTAATTTACTACGATCATTCCCATGGTATCACCGTTCAAATTTTTTGAAGGACGTAAAGATTGCGTGTACAATCTGCGGATCGTCGTTGAGCACGTACGATGTGCGACTGCGGTCGCTACCGCGCACTTGCATTGACGTCTTCTGAGGACGCGGCGGTCTACGACGACTCCCTGGTGTTGCACCAGCATCCTAGAAAGGATATCCTAACATCTTATCTCATTTTCTGTAAACTTTTGTGATGTGACCAACATGAAAAACTATTCCCCAAGTGTGGAGTTAACCTAGAAAACTTATTAGTCTCGAATGAGCCAGTTTAGCTTGAGCATTTAGCAGAGAAGCGCATCCAGTAATCGGGAGACACCACGTCACTCTACGATAGGGGAAGCTACCAAATTGGACCAAGTTCGAAAA